AATGTTTTCTCTGATGACTACATAGGTGGGGGATATGTAATCTCTCCGGTGAACAATGGAAAACAGTCGCTTGTGAAGCACATGCTTGCTATTGATTGGAAGTTCTGGAAAATATATCTCCGAACACCGACCATGAGATCTTGGACGATTCGTATGCTCGAGAGAGTTGCAGGTGCACCTCTGCTTGATCCCTGCTAGTTTTCCTTTTTCCATTGATGTAAAATGTTTTATTGCACTTTTGGATTCGCAGCCTTACGAGAGCTGTTCAAAGCGAAACAAGGAAACTATTATCCTGAATGCTTGTCTTTGGAGTGGACAAGTGATAAACATCTGGCTCAAACCGAAAAAGAGGATGTTAAGATTGAGGATGATGCTCTAACGGATGACAAGGCGGAGAAAACACTGCCCGGATACGTAAATCTATTAGGCCTCAACGAAGAAGCGGATGAGTTCTTTGATGTTCCTGAAGCAGATGAATTCACAGATTATGATCGCTTGGACAGTGAGTGGTCTCCTGGACCAAGTTCGCCTGTACTTTCTTGATCCCCTATATTAGGTTCTCGGTTTTCCAATTCGTACTGAGTTCAAACAGATCATTAACTGTGTTTTTATTCCATCATAATCGAACATGCAGAGCAAACCACTTCCGAAATTAACATCAGCAAGCCATTTAGTGAGCAAATTGCAGAATTTTGCAAGTGAGTTCGACTAGGCTAACCAAAGTTGTCGAGATAATCAATGGAACAAATGCACATCTTAGGTGTTTCTAAACTATTATTCATGCTGCAGATCAAAAGAAGGGTTACACTGTCAATCAAGAGGTGGCTCGGGACTACGGCAAAGTCTTCTCCTACGGAACCTCTCTCCAAAAGGACCCGACATGTGCTTTACCATGCAGTTGGTCGGCCGGCGACCCTTCTTTTTTGATACGTGGTAAAACTTACCTGCAAGACAACAGAAAGGTATTGATTCACTTGCATAAGATATGCTACCAAGAATGCATATATACATCTATGTATGCATGTGTCCAGCTCTTCATTTTTCTTGAAGTACAAGCTTTCGATACATATTTAGACACGAGTATGAAGATACGACCCTCTTCGCCTCCAAATACATGAAAAAAACTTGGAAAACATCAACATATCCATGTCAACACATACTAGTATTCGATACTCGTACTCGAATCTGAGTGACATAACTAGAAAGCCTGTTTGTTTTCTTTATTATGAATTTGTACTCGTTATGATAGTTCAAGGCAAATGGAACGCTGATGCATATGGTTGGAGCAGACTGGTTAATATCCGACAAACGAGAAAATGATATGGGCAGCCGAGTTGGTGGCATTGTTCAGGTCGGTTTATTTTCCGATTTTCAACGCTCGACGGCTTGATCCCATGTTATTAAACATGTATGATGGAAAAATAAACTTCGTTGAAATATTTTCATGTAGAAATACGCAGAACGTGGTGGACCAGAGTTTTTCTTTATCATCAACATGCAGGTTTGTTCGATTTCTACATTTTTTTCAATTACTTCATACAGTTTTTGTCGGCATTCATTTGATATGCTCCCGATTATTATACATCAGATTCCCGGATCGCCGACGTATACGCTAGCACTGTACTACATGATAAAACCCCCATTGAAGATCACCCTTTGCTGTACAAGTTTGTCGATGGAGATGATGCCTATAGAAACATGAGATTTAAGCTCATACCATATATTTCTAAGGTATGCAAAATTTCAAAATTAAGCTTTCAAGTTTCCTACATAGCCAATTGAGCCATCTCGGATATTCTCGAGACATGAACGAAAACTCAAGCAAATGCTGTTCCCCCCTCCGAGACGACTCTGTAGCCAGTTTTTTAGATGTGTAAACGAGCTAAAAATGAATCAAACACAGATGTCTCGTCTATTCACCTAGGCTATTTACTCTGTTTTACTGAATAATCCTCTTCAGGGATCATGGATAGTCAGAGTGTTGGAAAGAAAGCCTGCTTACTCGGTCAAGCTCTCAATACTCGATACTTCCGTGGGAAAAATTACTTGGAGGTAAATTTCCGAATCGGCAAATTCTCAAATCAAGTGCAATACAACATGAATGATGATTGTGTCATTGTCTTAGTTGCTGATATGTTATTGCAAATTACTTTGCTCTGTAAAAACTGAATGCATTTTTCAGTTCTCTGTTTTTCAAGCCATCGATTTGTATTGTGTTACCGTACTGAAACACATTTAAATTTCGGGCAGAAATTGATATAGGGTCTTCGACGGTGGCACAGGGTGTAGCTAATCTTGTTCACGGTTATCTGAACAATTTGGTTGTAGAAATGGCGTTCATAATACAGGTAAGACTTCTGTGAGTGAAGTTTCCTCCATGTCTCAGCATGTGGACTTTACTTGAGTAGCAAGCAACGAAAGAACTATGAGACAAATAGCTTGCATATTGCTATTATTCTGATTAATTTGCTTCCATGTTGCTTCGGCTCATTGTTTTCTCATGAAATTTAACATTCACAATCGAGTCCGAGTAACATAGATTTGTTTGTCGAGAGTCCGACTAACATAGATTTGTTTGATTGTATTGATTACACACAGGTAAGACTTCTGTGAGTGAAGTTTCCTCCATGTCTCAGCATGTGGACTTTACTTCAGTAGCAAGCAACGAAAGAACAATGAGACAAACAGCTTGCATATTGCTATTATTCTGATTAATTTGCTTCCATGTTGCTTCGGCTCATTGTTTTCTCATGAAATTTAACATTCACAATCGAGTCCGAGTAACATAGATTTGTTTGTCGAGAGTCCGGCTAACATAGATTTGTTTGATTGTGTTGATTACACACACGAGTCCGAGTAACATAGATTTGTTTGACGGTGTTGATTATGATCCATGACTGTTGATTATGATCCAAACACACTCAAGTTCGAGTAACATAGATTTGTTTGATGGTGTTGATTATGATCCAAACTACTTTTTCAGGGTAATACACAGGAGTTACCGGAATCCCTACTTGGAACATGCCGGCTAAATCATCTTGATCTATCGAAGGCTCACATAGGGGTGCCATGATCTATCGAGAGGTTGAATTAAACAGGAACCATTGTATAGATTCTTTTAAATTTTGATTTCCCTTACCATTCAATCAAACTGAAAGTGAAAACATGAATCCATTGATTTGATCGTTTGGTAGGGTTTATATAATTCATTCCATGTATTTTTTAAAGCCTTGTAATGTAATTCTTTCACATCCTTTATTATCTGAATAAAATTTATATTTTGTTACAACTACTCCTACCAAAATCTCTTTGGATTTTGAAAACATGAAAATCGGTCGGGAAAAAAAGTATTTTTACCGACAGTTTCTGAAGAAATATTCGTCGCTAAAAAGCGTTTCATAATACACACACACATTCATGCTGAATTTAACACCAACATTTTTCTAAAGAAAACCCCAGAATTCATAAGCTAATTCTTCCATTAATAGTACTTAAAAGAGATGAATCCCACCATCCACGATTATGTTACATCCATATATGAAAATCAAAGCTTTGTTCAATCAAAGACCATAGAGATAACATAAAATAGAAACCCTGGTAATCATAATCTTTTAATTGTAGTAAAGTTCGAGGCCCATACCATCATGAATCTCGTAATCCTTGAGGGTGATATGATCCTTGTAGACCGTGTACCACTTCTGGATACGGATTTTGTCGGCTCGGGTTCCGGTTTGCGCCGCCACCAGCTTCTTGAGGTCTCCGATGGTGTCGTCGTCGTTGCACTTCACGCGGACCTTCTTGCCCAGACGATCGTTTAACACCACCTCGATCATCTTCGGTTTTTGTCGAAAGAAGAACTTCAGAGAAAACCCTAATTCCCAAATTCGCTAAAACTGGAGAAATAATGAGAGAATCAAAGCGTGGGGTGGATTTTTATTAGGGAAAAATAATTTACCAGCTCACTATTATTGACTTTTGGTTTCCCAAACGATGCCGTTTCGTGCGTTTTACAAGTTAACCTTTTTAAAATGGATTAATACCTACCTTACCACCTCTACTTAGGAAAACTTTCACTTATACTTCTTCATTATTATTTTTCTATCAGTTTGACCCTTCAACTTTCATTCTCGTATGTCCAGTTGGCTTCCAGACATTTTATATATATATATATATTATTTGTTGAAAATATATTATTGAAAACAGATCTGTTAACATTAATAAACAGAACAATAATAATTAAAAATAATATTTATAGGATCTAAATTACTTGGTTAATTGGTTAAGATTACTTGACTTAACCAGGAGCTTCGGTTCATTAGTAATCCAGATGATGCTCAAGTCAAGAGTTCGAAATCAAAGGGTTTACTGAGAGGACGATGTTTCTCGGGAGGTCACGATCTCAGGAAATCGAGTACGACCAAGCCCACTACGACCAAGGATGATGATGGAAGCTTTGTTAGAAAGATGATAAACAATCATGGACCCATAATCCGGAGACAAAGCGACGAGCTCAATTTGTTGACGAAAGAAATTCTTCGACATAAATCGAGTCCTTTACCACCGAGGAAAGGAAAGGATATCGTTGATCTGAGACGATGGTTTCGAGAAATTATTGTGAAATTGGAGAATTTAATCAACCAGAACCCTGGGATTGGTGATTGTTCTAGTGACAATAGGTATGACTATGAACTGCAAAAGCCTCCCGAGGAGAGGCCATTTACAGACGGTCGAATCGAGATCGAGAATCCCGGCATTCACAGTATGGAAGAAATATGGGAAAAAGTGACTACAAAAACCCCAGTTTCTGAAGAAAGAAATGAAGATCCATGGAGTGAAATAAAGCTTCTGAAACAAGAAATGGAGGATTCAAATCTGCAAAACAGGATCATGGAAGAGACTTATTTAACTCTTTTACGAAGTTTTGTCGATGAATTTCATATCGAGATCATCACATACATGGCCCAGTCAAAGAAAATGTGTATGAAAACCTGATCGAGGAAATGAAAACCGAGTGGAACGAGAAAACCGGAAGTGAGAAATATGGTACCTTGTACGCCAAGCCAACAGTATGGGATCTCGATTCTGTTCATAATTCTATACCTGCAAATCATCAAACATTACTCTATTCGGAAAACACGAGCCTAGAGGAATCAACACACCCTGATTACTTCTTTCGAGCACTTTGGGACGACATTTACGCGTTCCTTTTATGGAAAATCATCGGTGAATGGAAAGAGAACATAGAAACTTTCAAGTCTACAAGTTGTTTAGGTGAGGAACTGTGCTTGATTGTCTTTGGTGAGATTGTTAGAGGAATTGTAAACACTTCCAAGTCTACATTCATCGAACTGCAACAGATTAAAATCGACGAGAGTTCGAATCACAACTTTGAGTGCGATGATAAATTCTTAGAAACAGCGACAATGTCGATCAAGGATGATGTTTTGAAGATTTTCCTAGCTGATATGATCAAGGAACACCAGAAGGAAATATATGCATTTAGTCTTGAGAGTCTCATCAAAGAAGATATTTTCCAATTTGTTCTTGTTGAGTCAGTGAGACAAGGTTGCATTCTAGACAAAACCGATGACCGGACGAACCGAGAACAAAGTCCGCACAACTCAATGATCTCAGTCGATAATTTGACACATATCCTAGATAGCCTAGTGAAGTTTTTCGAATACGAAGAAACCGTGATACAAACTGCCTATTCCGAAACAAAACAACGGAGAACACAACGTCAACACGTTGCACCCGGATTCGAGTTCACTCAACACGGCCATTGTCCCGGATTCTTTACCTACGACGAGAACAGTACTAATTCGACAAGTATCAAGCTTGAGAAAGCTTTGTTGCAATTGCATTATGGCAAGGCATTATTGAGTGAGTTAGGGTCCGAGTTAGGCATAACATTAAACAATTCAAATTCACACAATGCTACCAGAGATTGCAGGAAACCCTCCATTGAGGAATCTCTTGAAGCCTTCATTCGGGATTCATCGCAAACGTTGCGGAGTTTCGAGTTCAAATCATTTACGAGATTAGGAAGGCATGCCTCGAGGTACTTAAATTTGCCTATGAACTGCAGTTCCTTGCTAATGTTCCTACATGGAGTATAATTAACCGATCAATGCATACTGAGATCATACATAACTCGAATCGGATGAGTGCCAATTCATACTCGAATCCGAATAACACACGATTCAATTCCGATTTGCAGGTTGGATGAAATGAAGGGTCAGCTAGATAAAGTTGCCAAAATCGCTATCTCGCATATCCAAAAGGAATCACTTTACAAGAAAGCTTTCATTAGGAGATGTGAGAATCTACAAATGGCTGAAGCTGAGGTGATTTACCATAACTTCACTTTATCCTCTTTCTTTTATCTTCCCGAATCGGATCGAATTATTCGTCCAAATCTAAAGGATTTAATCAAAAATTGATTGATCCGATTCGATCCGTTCGACCATGAACACATCTACCTGTAAAAATTGATTCTTGACCTATTCAATTAACAATCGATACTTGAAAAATTAGACCAAATCGAAAACACGATACGATCGAAAATACTTTTGTTTGTTTATTTATTTATTTTATGTTTGAGAAATAGGTGGATCTTCTTGGTGATCAAGTGGAACATCTTAAAGAACTACTTAAGAAGATCTATGTGAAAATTCATCAACATTCTCCCACATTGCACCACTATTTTGAGGTTAATTTTCATTATTTAAAATTCCTTTTCAAATTTATTTTTTTATTTTATTTATTTATATATATTTTTTTCCGACAGATCTCGGAAATATTGAAGTTAATAGAGATATTTAATTTATTAGTCGAGTAATCTAGATTAAATTATGCTGAGTTTTATTACGAGGGTGATTTGCTTAATCAATTTTCTTTATTTAGAATTTATGACTTTTTAAGTAAAAATAATTAGTAATTTTATTTCAAAAGGAAATTCTTGTATTACAAGTAAAAATGCTACCAAATTCAACATACTATGATGTAAAGTTGAATCTAATTAGATGAACATGAAAGAACAAAAGAATAAATAAATAAAAATTACTACATATTATCTAAAATTTGATTCCCTGTTGTCGACACTCAGAAGTCGGATCCTTGTTTAAATCGATTTAAATCCATGATCTTGATCATCTTTTCGCAAAGGAGAAATTCGACGGAGAAATGCCGATCGTGTGTTGTGTTCGGACCGAGCCGGGTGACCTCGATACAAATTCTGAAGTGCAAGGTTCTCGAACCGTCGAAACCGCAACCTTTCTCGTTTCCAACTGCAATGTACCATGATTGACAGCAGGGACATCGATACCGCGGCAGTTCGGAGAATTGGCGAACGAATCAGCCGGATCCCATTGGTCGTTCTCGAAGTCCGAATGCCTCGGAGAGGCGCGAGAGCTTTCTACACTTATTTCGGGATAACGATGGAGGAGATGAACCGGAGACGTCCCACGCGTCGGAGTTGCCGACCTGCTCGAAAACGGCGTTGTATTCTCATGGTAACAAAAAAACTCACCCCATAGAGATATCGATTATGATATCTTCGATTTTCTCATGGTAACAAGAATTTATGGTAAATTCATACTGAAAAAAAAAATATTTGTTAGATGAGCTAATTAAACATTTTCTCGAGAAACAAACATTGGGCTTGTGATTTCGGCTTACCGTGCTCCACACGAAAAACGCTAGTTGAAATGCATTCTGCACAATAAAAACAATAACATATTTAAACAAAAACATATTTACATCGTATATATATTTTTCATGTTATAATTTAATATTATGGTCGTTCTTTTATGATTTTTTTTTGTTCAAATTTCTGAATGTTTAGCTTACCGTGATAAATCCATGTCTCAGTGTTAGATAATCAACCTTTGTAACTGACCCGTAAAATTGTCTAAAGAAGCACACATGCAGGGTCGTGGCTGGGGGCGCAAACTGCACGACCGCGCAGGGCCCCACAAAAAATAGGGCCCCACAAAAAATGGGGCCACAAAAAATATATATAGTGGCGTTTTACCAATAAACGCCACTATAGATGGACTCATTGCGACGTTTTTTCAAAAAAACGCTACTATTATTGTGGCTTTATTGATAAAACGCCATTATAGATGGATTTATTGCGGCGTTTGTCAAGAAAACGCCACTATTATTGCCCCGAAATCGAATATATCTAGAAAATAGGGACCCCTTTATACGAATTCGTACAGGGCCCCCGAAAACCCTGCCATGGCCCTGCACACATGCGAACGACTAAATATATTAATAGTTATATAAAATTTATTTATCACATAATTTAAATACAAGTATTATACTTACAATTCAAACCTAAATTTCTCTGGATCTGTATTAAAAAACCAAATCAAGATGAATTCGAATAATTATAATAATTTTTAATATTATTTAAATTTTCATAATAAAAAAATCAAATAATTTATAAACAGGGAATGGAATTAATTAACAAAATGGTTGAGTAAATGATATGGGGAAAAAATTCCCAATATAATCTATCTCGGGAATTATTTTCCCATCTATGGTGAATTGTGTAGTACCAACTTAAAGAATTAAGTTGCTTCACACGTCTTCAAGTTAAATATGAAGACTCTACGACCACATGGGGTCTTCAGACAAATGAAGAAGACCCCACAACTGTACGTCGTCTCCAGATAAATGGAAAAGACTCCAGAAATGCACGGTATCTTTAGATTAATAAGAAGTCGTAGTTTATAAAATAATATAATGGGTGCGTTATATAAAAAAATCATTTTTTCCACGACCATATATGGAGAGGAAGCCGGAATTAATTCATGCCTTTTCTTTACACTTGTCGACTTCTTTAGGTGGATATTTAGCAATAGATTTGGTATCACAGGGACGCCACGTACATGAGTATCGATGCTCATCCTCTTAAAACTTGAAAAACCCTCTCTTTCGGTTCTTAGACGCTTGTTTAATGTTGTTAAGGCCATATATTTGTCGAGTTATGCAAATTATTATCTGTTTAAAGATAACTTTTAACCATTTTACATTAAACACGCACACTCTGGCATTCCTGGTGCTCAAACCCGAAACCTCAAGGAATAACAACAATTCTTTTATCACCATGATCCGTTGGTAGTGCAGCTTTCATATGTTTAAATACACTTAATTATGACAGTGAATTGATTTCTTAAGAGATTTGAGAACATTTTAAATGTGACCATTAAAGATATGGGTAAAGTACACAAATAGTTATTTGATTATAGGGTATTACTTTATTAAGTCCCTCGACTATTAAAAGTTTCAAAATGATCATCAAGTTTTTCATTATATTCCAAATTAGTTCTTTTTCGTTAAAATATTAACAATATTCCGAGCTTAATGTTAACCTGTTGATTGTGATATGATAAAATTTGATCATAAAATCTCAAACGACTATCATATCTCAGTCATCATGTTAATGTTCAGCTTAAATGACCGTCAATTTTTTAACGGAAAATGACAAGTTTGGAACATAATGAATAGTCAAGTGACCATTTTGTAACTTTTAATAGTCAAGGGACTTGACAAAGTAGCACTCTATAGTTGGAGGACCATTTTGTAATTTTAACAGTCGAAGCACCTAATAAAGAAGTATCATATAGTCGGGAGACCATTTGTGTTCTTTACCCTAAAGATAAGTGTCGTTTATATGAATAATTTAAAAATAAGTACTATTCTCATAAAATATTTAAATTCAATTTTAATAAAATTAAATTCAATGAACAAGGCTAAATGTTCCAAATTTCTTGCCCAACAACAAAGCACGTTCTTGAAGAATGATTTGAATTAATTAATTAATTGTTTTGTTTTTAAGTGAAAATCAAAAGGCGAAGCCCATGAACTTTGACTGTTTCCTTATTTTGACTTGCAAATATAATAATAACTTGATGATGCCAGCATTTTATAACTGTCATGGATGAGGACAGCTTATAGAAGTTGGGGAAAATTACTGATAACGACAAAATTCAATTCATTTTTCTTTTTTGGTACTTAAATTCTTTTTTTTTTCGATTAATAAACAACACAAACATATGGTTCACACACACACACAAAATAGGCCAAAATTTCCAAAGTGAAAATAAGTGTACTTAAAAAGTTAAATTAAATATTAAATCTTTAGATAAAATAATAACTATTGATAAATAAATATGTCCAAAATACTTGTTAGTAAAGTCTATATATAGTTTCAACTTTTATTTGTTTTTTTGGTAATCAAAATTGACTACAGCTACAGATATTTATATTTAAATAAAGGCTTAATACTGAAACAAGTGCCCAAACTATATTGATTCTCCTAAATAGGCGCCTAAACTATTTTTTGACTCATCCAGGTGCCTAATGTTATGAACATTACTCATTTAGGTGCCCAGGCCGTCAACGGTTTTAATTTCCCCGTTAAGTGATATGTGTCATAATCTGGTGATTTTAAAATTTATTTTTTAAAAAATATTAAAAATATCATTATATTTATGAAAAACAATTTCTCTTAAATTATAAAATAGTTCCAAATACTTAAAATCCCTAAATCCTAACCTTAACATGCCGCCTTCACCCTTTATGGCCAAGAAAACCATCACCGGCGTAGTCCCTGCCATCCTCATAGTCATATGTCGTCGTAGTTGTCGCAGATTGGCCATCGAAATAACATGAGATCGTAATTTTCAACCTAGGGTTCGTAGGGTATAAAACGTCGATTCATCGTCGATCGACCGTCGATCTATCACGATTTCATAGAGGTTTCGGTCACCAGGGGAGGGGAGGTGGGTGGAGCTTCATCGAAGGCAAAAGGCGACGATTAGAGTAGGTTTAGGGGTTGAAATGAAGGTTTTCAAAGTTTTGAGTTTATTTCAAAATTTGTGTTTTCCTTATATATATATAATTTTTAATTTTAAGTAAAAAAATTTTAAATTTACCAAATTGTGACTCATGTCACTTAACGGGAAAATTAACACCGTTGACGGCTAGGGTACCTAAATGAGTAACGTTTGTAATATTAGGCACCTGGATAAGTCAAAAAATAGTTTAGGCAACAATTTAGAAAAGAAAAATGTATAGTTTGGCACTTATTTTGGTATTAATCCTCAAATAAAACTCGCAGAAATTAAAAATATTTTAAAATATTAAAATATTTATTTAAAAATTTTAAAATATTACAATTTAAACGTCTTAATTACTGTTAAAGTCAACGATGTACGTATTCCTTGTTTATTCTCCAGGTAAGTACTAACTAGGCTTCCTTCACCACGTGGAAGACCTTCAAGAACAAATTATGTTGAAAATTAGTAAACAAAGGGACCGAATTGTAGAAAAAGTATTGCTAAAATAATTATATAAAAAGCCCCTCAAAATTAGAATATTTCCTTCCTTTTTTGCTTTTGTATCTTCTTAATTGTAACTGTGTTTGAATTCACAATGGTATGCTTCGTCCATTGGACTCAAATAGCTGACTAATTTAGAACCTTCACAATCTCAAGGTATTTTGTTATAGGGTAAAGTACACAAACGGTCCTTGAATATAGGGTACTACTTTATCAAGTCCCTCGACTATTAAAAGTTATAAAATGGTCCTACGTTTGTAGAGTGTTGCTTTATTGAGTCATTCGACTATTAAAAGTTACAAAATAGTCACTCGACTATTTATCATATTCCAAAATCGTCCTTTTTCGTTAAAAATGGACGATATTCTGATCTGAACGTTAACATGTTGAGTGTGGCTGATCCCAGTATCTCAAATGACTATCATATCTCAGTCACATGTTAACGTCTAACTCAAACTAACTGTCAATTTTTAACAGGAAAATGATGAGTTTGGAACATAATGAATAGTCGGGTGACCATTTTATAACTTTTAATAGTTGAAGGATTTAACAAAGCAACATTTTATAGTCGGAGGATTATATTTTTACTTTTAATAGTCGAGAGATTTAATAAAGAAGTAATCTATAGTCGAGGGACCATTTGTGTACTTTACCCTTTATTATATTATTTAGCCTTTTTTGCCCTTTATAAATTAGATAAAGAAAGAGACGAATACTGATGTTTAAAAGTTGAAATTCAATCCCATAAAAAGAAAATTCACCTAGAAAAAGCCACCTTCTAGAAGGCTAAACATTGTATTTTACAAAATAACAATTTATACATATAATTTATTATTTGATTCACTAATAATTAGGATGATTATAGGTCGGGTAGAGTTTTTGGGTCATTCGACCTTGATCTGAGCATAATATTTCTTATTTCTTATTTGAGTCGATTCAAATTTAAAGAAATTTCACCCGACCTAAAACTTAATTTTTAAGATGAAAACATGCACCAGCACCAACACCAGCACCCACATCCAATCCAATCCGACCCGACTCGACCCGACACACACATTATATATATATATATATTCTCAGTTTTATTAAGCTGGTTTATTTTTGTTCCTCTAGAAGCCGTCTAAATATATATTATATGTATATATATATATATATATATATATATATATATATATATATATATATATATATATATATATATATGTGTGTGTGTTTTTTTTCTAATTTCTAACTCATTCTTCCATTAGAACTTCATTTTCCAGGAAAACAACCCTTGTTTTCGTGGTAGTATACTTTGTTGTTCATCTTTCTTGATTTCGTTAGTACTTTTCCCAATTGGTGCTGGGAAGAATTGAATCATAAGAAGACCATGCAACAAATCAAAGATTCCTGGAAAGACTTTGGTGATGAATCCAATGAAGAAACACTTTCTCTTTGCGATCTCGTGATGGAAAATGATCGTTCAAATGAGTTCTGGGACGATGATGATGATTTCTCAAAGCGAGATGAGAATGGCGATCTGTTTGAGTTTTCCAGTGATCATCTTCCTGCTTCGGCCTCAATTTTCCCGGAAAACAACATCATTTTCTGTGGGAAAATCATTTCTTCCAGAGAAAGTCAACCCATTAATGTGGGCAACAAATCTCAGATGCCAAAATTCAGAATCGAGCGAGGAAATCACGAGAAGAGCAAGAATTTCAGCTGCGGAAACCGCTGTTTGTTTCCCTGGAAAACTTCGTCGTCGTCGTCGCCTTCATTATTCAACAAGTCGAGAACGTTTCCTTCATCAAAATCAACGAAAGAATCAGAGAGACGGAGTTTCAACAAATCGTTTTCAGTGCCGGCTTCGGTTTCCAAGAACAAATACGGGAAATTCAGCGATGAAAAGTTTTATTTTCCGGTCAAACAAGTATCGACTCCGGTTAAACCAAGGTGGTATTTGTTTGCATTTGGAGTTGGAAGGTTCCCGATGGAGATTGAGCTTAAGGATATGAAGATGAGACAGAGCAGGAAATATACGACGATGAAGTTCCGATCACCAGGGGGCGACCGATCGGAAAATGTTAAGAGTGATCAGAGAAGGAGATCGGGCAAGGGTTTTCGTATATTGTTGAAGGTTTTAGGGTGGAATCAAATATTTATTTAACTAACGACTACATTATCATTTTTGCACTTAAATCTTAGTTTTAGTATTACTATTGTTATAATATTTTAAAGGTAGAGGGTTTAAATGTGTATTAATCATTAATTTAAGGTATAATGATAAAAAAGCTCTTAATTTTGTCTAAATAATCATTTTAACCCTATTATTTTTTTAAGTATTTTAGTCGAATGATTAGTCGATACTATGAGGTGGTGATCAGGTTGTTCGATTCGGGTGTTGGGTGAATCATTTTAGGTTTGAACAACATTTAATTTAGTTCGTTTTAAGTCAGATGATTCAAATTTAGTTTAAGTTTATGATAAGTTAGATCGAGTTGGATATCAGTTCGGATCATTATTGAATTGATCGATTTTCTAATCGAATCAATTTATTTTTAACTCAAATCAACTTTTAGATTTTTAGATCAATTCAAGTTAACTGAATATGAATGAATCAATACATTATAAAAAAGAAGCTAATATCTGAAATATATTCGAATCTGAATCCTAATAAATCTAGACAAGGCCATGCATAATGAGACTCAAACTTTAGAATGTATTCAAACCTAGACCAAAAGAATAAAATGTAAATAATACCACATATCATTTTTTTTTTCAATTTTAGTACTTAAACTTTCAATTTTTTCAAAACCATATTCAACGTTTAGTTTTCATTTCATTTTACTACACCGTCTTTAAAAACTTAACGCATTTAGTACATGAACTATCAGTAATGGTCCGCTTTAGTACATACACTTTTAATTTTTTAACGTTAACTTTTGAATGTGATACTAAAAGGAAACAAAAACTAAAGTTTTAACAGTGGGGTACTAAAATGAAATAAAAACTAAACTTTAGTTATAGTTTTGAAAAAATTGAAAGTTTAGGTACTTAAACGACCAAAACTGATAGTTTATGTACTAGACATGTAATTTACTCTAAAATCAAATTATGTTATTGATCCTTAAACAGTATAGGTAAGTTGAAAAATTAATCCTCATATTGTAACTTAAACAAATTTAATTTATATATTTTGAAGATTCAAGAACCAGACTCAATTGATATAAGAACAATATAACTAAATATGAAGACTAAATGGAATCGAGAAATATAAACTAAATTAATATTTTTTTTACATAATACACTAATACAAAAACTAAATTATTTAAACCAACAACCAGTTGGTTTAGTGGGATGAGACACTAGGTCCCTTAAGCAAGGTCAGGGGTTCGAATCCTGGCGTTTGTGAATGAAGCAAATTGGGTTGGGAGGGTCGCCCTCGCCTCTGCATTATCCGATTTGGATTAGTCGGTCAATAGATCGGATAACTTAATTTAATTTAATTCTTTATCCCCTTAATATCTATAATTATCATGACTAATTAATTATCCCTCACGTCCAAAGAGGCTCCCAAGCCGAAGCAAGATTATTATCATCGAGAAAACAAGTGGTGTCGATTTGCTGAGAATTGGCGTTGTTGGGTTCTTTGGAGTTAGTCATTTCCAATATAATGGCTAGCAAATTGGCTTGTTGGCACTGCATTGTCACGATCTCGGCTTGCGCCTTGGCCAGTTGGGCTTGGAGTTCACTCGCTTGCTTTTGGAGCTGGCATATGGCCCCGGCACAACCGTACACCGGGTCGCGGATTCGGGCGCTCGCCTCGTACACCATGCTGCTTACTGCGTCGGCTCTGTGTGACTCCGGAAGTTCCTGAAAAGAAAAAAGAAAAAGATATAATTTTAGTTTGTAGAAATAATTGAACATGTATAAAATTTAGATTATCTATTAAGATTGATATATTTCAAATTGAGGGTGATCAAACGGGTAATTCGGTTAATCGATCAAATCGAATTACCCAAATTTCATTAATCGATTTCCACCCTTTAATCGTTAACTGATCTGATTTTTTATAAAAAAAATTAACTTAACCGAACGGTTAACCGGATTAACCAAAATTTATAAATAATATATATTATATATTTAATATTTTTGGTTTATTCGGTTAATTCAGTTGGTTAATTCAGTTAAAATTGAAGTTTAAACACCCCTAAAGCTATATAATATATTAAATGTTTAATAATTTTGATTAATTCTGTTACTTAACTGATTTTGAACAGAATTAATTAAAACCGAAGTTTGAAAAAGAATCATTATCCGTTAATCGACCGAAATTTCAGTTCGAATTAAATTTTAGATAAAGATTTTGTAAATTTAGATTGATTTGGTTTAAGCTATTATTTGATAATATCCTTAGGGTAAACTATTTCATTGACCGCTTAACTATTTAGTTCTTTTATCACCGATCATTTAATTTTGTCAATCAGATCACTAAACTATTTAATTGTTCTCAATCATGACACTTGTTGTTAATAGTTAACGGATTAAGTGACATGGTAGTTAAATATTTAAGTATAATCACATATTTAGTCATTGTTATTTATATATCCTCTCAATTTAGTCTCACTTTTAATAAATTAAAATAAATTTAATCATCCAATCGAATGGTGTCACATGTCGTGCCAATGTCACCATTCGGTTGGAGAGATAACTTTATTTTACTTTAACATATTTATTTTTTTCCAATTAGAGAGTGACACATGACACCATTCAATTGAAGGATTAAATTTATTTTAATTTATTAAAAATAAGACTAAATCGAGAAAATATGTAAATAAAAGGACCAAATGTGTGAATATACCAAAAATATTTAACTGCCACATTACCTAATATGTCAATTGTTAATGGTATGTGGTTTGATTGATAAAATTGAAATGTTGGTAATAAAAGTAAAATGACTAAATAGTTAAATGGCCAATGCTACATTTTACCCATATTTTTATTTCTTTTAAGTTTTTAACAATTATTTGAATTATCGGGTCGATCTGAATCAAGTTTAACGAAAAATTTGAACTTTTTCCCCAAGGTACGAGTTATTGTCAAGGTTAATAGACTCGGGTCAAATCGGTTAAACTTTAAATAATAATTTAATTATTCAAATAGGTTCGATTTAAATTATAATTTAATAATATTTTTCCAAAAACATATATTAGAAAATTTGACCTACTATCCAATTTAATCCAACTTAATCAATGAACACAAAATCAATTATAATTGTCAAATTAAGTAATTATTTGAAATGTTTAATTAATTATAAATAATTTCATTAGTACATATTCGTCTTAATATATTCTCCGGTAACGTATGAAATAATTTATATATATTAATAGGGTAAAATATATCATTCCTTAAATTTTTGAATTACTCATGTTTTAATATTTTTATTTCTTATTATTATTCAATATAAAAAATAATTTTATTAGTATTTCAAAGGTCGGTGGTGATCGACATTGATTTTTTTCAATCTTTTTAAATTTAATAATAATAAAATATTATTTTATTATTTATTTTAAATTATTTTTATATTAAATAATAATAATAAAAAGTTCACGTCATATAAAAATAATAAAATAATTCAGATTGATCGAAACATGAATAATTCGAAACTTCAGTGAATAAATAAAAAAATGAAAATATAATGAGTAAAGTTCTTCAACGATGAATGATATAATTTAACCGTATTAATATTTTTGCTTGTAATTAAATTATAATTATGAATTTGAAAGAAAACTCCTAAAATATAAAAAGAAAATGTATCTGAATTTTGTTAAAAACAGGTTAAAAGATGACAATTTTGAAGAAAAAAATTGAAAGAGCAGAGGAAGAATTTATACCTGCAAAGATTTGATGATATTACTGGCTCCAAAAACTCGATGAGCAATGGTGAATTTGTAAGGCTCGGTCGGAGGAAAATAAGGAGCCAAAACACACTTCTCGACGCAGCGGCGGCGAAGGATTTTGCACGCGGCGCAAGGGCTGAGAATAACCGTGGGCGGGGGAGCAGGAGAAGCGGGTTGCGGAGGAGACTGAGAGTTGGGAGAAGGAAAACGCGGCGAAGAAGAAGGAGGAGACAGAGAGAGAGAGGATGAAAATTGGGCGCATTTTTCATTGTTCTCCATTGTTGAAATCAGCAAAGGGACTTGAGAATATACTGAGGAAATTGCTTTTAGTTGAAAGCGGGGGAAGGAAACTATATAAATAGAGCAGGGAAAAGGGAGAAAATAATAATAATTTCGTTTAAATTCATGTTACTCTATTTTTTAAATGGCACGTGTTTGAATATAAGGTATAATGACATGGTTACTCCCCAATGTTTGCTTAAATATTCACTTTGCCCCCAATTCTTTTTTTTGATCATTTTATCCTAACGTTTCATTTCTTTTTAAAACATATCATGTTGGATGAAAACCGTTGGTTGTTGACGTGGAATTTTCACATGTTATCGATTGTTGACATGACATGTGTATGTCATCACTCCGGGTGATGTGGCCACATCACCATTTTGAATGATATGACACATCATCATTTTGGGTGACATGTCAAGTCATCAATCGATCATATATGAAAATATCATGTCAATAACATATGTTGATCATTAATCAATTAATGTTTTTCATTCAATAGGGTCTGTTTTGACCAAAAATTGAAACGTTGAGAGGTAAAATGATCCCAAAAAAGGGGCAAAATGACCATTTGTCCAAATGTTGGGGCAATTGTGTCATTATGCCTAAATATAACTATTTAGGTTTAAATTTTCATTTGTTTAAAGTATATTCTTACTAAATTTATATCACATACTCTTTTATTACCGTAAAATATTTATTTAACTTCAATTCTTTTTTTTTGACAATAAATTTATTAATTAATTAATCAATCTTTCATACATGAACTTTTTAGTTTTTTTTTTCTTTTTTCGTTTCAAGTTTATTTTTTTTATCAAATTTAAATCACGTGTTCACATAACACAATAAAATATATATGTAACTTTAATTCTTCTTTTAATAATCAAGATGTACGTTACCGAATCGAGTAATTTTAACTTTAAAAAATAAATACTTATATAAATTTGATTTAGATTATACCATGTGTAAGTCTAATCATATATATGTTGATTGTTAGCTTAATTGTGTTTTAAAATGATTAATTCTTAGAATGTATATTAGAGTATGCATTACTTTTATTTTCTATTACCATTGTAATTAGAAGTGAATAAAATTTAATTTGATTTAAAATATTTTTTAAAAAATTTAAGTAATTCGAGTTGATATAGGTTTTGAGTTTGATTATTTAAAGTTCGAATAATCTAAAAATCAAGAGTCAAACGATGTCGTTTTGGCCTTTAGCTAAGTAACGTGATTGTTTTGTGATTTAATACGTAATTTCTTTGTTTTTTCAATTCCTCATTTGTTTAAGTCTATTTTTTCTTATCAAATCTCGATCACATGCTCCTCAATCATTGTACAACACTTTTATAGTTTCAATTCCCCTTTTGACATAAATTTTCTCTCTCTTTTTTTAATTAAGTCCTTCAATTTTGTATTATTTTCTCGTTTCTTTAACCCTTCTTCATTTTAAGCCCATTTTTAATCAAATTTGGACCACATGCACCTATAACATTATAGAATATTAATGTAGCTTCAGTTCGACAATAAATTAACTGTTTAGATAAAAAAACACTAAAAAAATTAATTTTGTTATTTTTTATCATTATAGTTTAATGAAAAAATATCAAATTTGGGTTATTTTCTTTATGAATTTAATTATTTTATTCTTCTTTCAATCTCTTTCTTGTGCTCCATAATTCTATCATTATTTTTTATTTTATTTTATTTTATTTTATTTCACGAAGTGATCATAAATTATCATTACCATGCAAAGCCAAAAAAGTTTCTTCCACATAAAGGCAAAATCATGACTCTCTTTAGTTTAAGTAGCTGGAAAAAACCCATAAATTTTGTGTTCATATTGAATAAAAATAATAATTTAAAAATATTTTAATTAGATAAATGGGTTCAAAAATAAAAAAAATATCATATGTCTCGTTTATTTTTTAGGGTAAATTACAAATTTTATCACTTAACTTTCTTTTCATTCTTATTTTGATCATTAAAGTTTAAAGATTTTCGTTTCACTCATTGAACTTTCGGTTTACACCTCTTTCGGCACATTGTTGTTAAATACTTAACATCGTTATGACTAGACGTTTGGATTTTAAAAATCGTGAAATAACCCCAAAACTTTTATCTTTTTTTGAGAAAACCCTGATTTTGAATTCTTTTAATTTCTCGACGATGTAGCATCTTCTTTCAAATTTCAACGATTGAGAGGTGGAGAAGGAGAAAGTGAGATTTATATCTTGAGTTCAAGCTGATTGGATGATGAAAATTATAGATCAAAATGGTTTAAGGTTTCACAAGTTTTAAGTTTTAGGTCGATTTTCATTAGTTTTAATGTGAATTTGAAAAAATCTAAACGCATTGAGTGGACAAAGATGATGAGTTCGTCAATGTCTTGAGTGGTCGGAGAAGATACTAGAGAATGGAGATTTCAATATCAGTGTGATACAAGGACGAAATTGCATAACTTTCCTCTTTGTGAGAAGAAGAAGATGATAAAAAAAAAAGGAAAAATGATGTGGATGACAAGTGGAAGTCGTGTCAACAAAACTAGTCCATGTCAGTATATTTAACTGTCATGTCACTTGTCCATTTCTGATTTAACTCTCGAGCGACCAAATAGGAGCAAATAGAAAGTCAAACGAGTAGCTGAATTTTTTTTAGAAACTTTTGTGACCAAAATAGGTGTAACAAAAAAGCTTAATGACGAAATTTACAATTTACCTTTAAATTTAATTCATTACAATAGAATGTATTATTTTGTAATTTTTTTAATTTCAAAAATATTTTTTTAAGAAAAGTATTACACATCTTTATTTTTCTTAAAAAAATTTATTTAAATCAAACAACAATTATCATTATCAATTATTCTTTAATTTACACTTTAATTCTTCCCCCAACTTAATATTCTTTCTTGAGTCTAAAGTCAACGAAAGGTATTATAAAAAGTACTCAACTTTAAACTATACTTTGTAGTGGGGCAAATCATGGTCTACAATTTGTTTTCAACGAAGGGGACCAAAGTGAATTGTGTTTGCAGCAATTTCAAACTTTGAGAAAGAACGACATAAATTCTATTTTTATTTAAAAAAAACTTTAATTAAATATTTACTACTACTGATAAAAAAAACATGTTTAAAAGACAGACATTGGCCTGTCGTTAGGGATGCAAATTACAGTGAAATGGGTTAGAATTTAGCTTTCTAAACCTTTTAAGATTAAATTATTCAATCTCACGTTAAGTCCTTTAAATAAGATTAGATGTTCGAAGCCTGTTATTATAAAGGGTAAATCATGCGTTTAGTATCTAAACTATAAGTTCAGGTCCGTTTTAGTACCTAAACTTTCATTTTTTTTCAAAACCATAGTTTTTGTTTCATTTTAGTACCCTCGTTCAAAATTTAATGTTAAGTTTTGATTTTTTTTTTAAGTTTAGGTATTAAAACGGAAAAAACTGATAGTTTATCTACTAAACACGTTAATTTTTTAACGAAGAGTTACTAAAATGAAACAAAAACTACACGTTATGTATGATTTTGAAAAAAAAAACCTAAAAATTTAGGTACTAAAACAAGACAAAACTTATAGTTTAATTACTAAGTGCATAGTTTACCCTAATATAAATGAAGAAGGTTAGGTTGAAAAGATCGCTCTCACAGTATGTCTCTACCATAATTAATCCGATTTAATTGATTAACGAATCAAATATTAGTGATTTTACAAAAGAATTTTATTTTTATTTAAATATAATGTTAGGATTTTCGGAAGCTCGAATCGACAACCGGAACAGTTTGCAAAGAGGAGTCAGAACGGTTTTGTGTTTAGGGAGTAAGGAGATTGAAAAATAGAGAATTGCACGGCGATTTATAGTGGTTCGACTTTCTCAATCAAAGTCTACGTCCACTACCTTAGCTCCTCACCAAGGATTTTCCAATAAATTCACTAATTTGTTCTTTCTTTTGAGGATAAAGAGTAACCTTACAAACTCCCTAATTTTTCCGGGCTAAACTGGAACCTTTCCCTAGCTTTTACACGGGCTAAGCTATAACATTTCCCCTTTACAAAAGGATAAGAAATGTAAACAAGAAAACCTCTCTAAGGTAGGTGTTTACAAGATTGAGCTCACAAGAATAAAATATATACAAGAGAAAGATGAAATAAGAATGAAAAATTCTTCTCTTGTGTTTGATTGCTTGGATAGTTGTTCTATTACTTCTTCAAGTGTCCTTAGCTTGTATTTATAGCTTGGAATGTGTTTGAAGTCATATCTAGCCGTTGGGGATGTTTTGGAGCCGTTTGGGAATGATTTTTCTACAAAAATAGGCTGCCCAGAATGGGGGGAATCGGTACCCCTTCATAGGGAATCGATACCCCTTCATAAATTCAAATATTATGACCGTTGGGCTGATGAACAGTGAGGGAATCGGTAGCCTCAAGGGGGGAATTGGTTCCCTCAGAGTAATCTGTTATTTCTCGGAGCCAAACCATGCAAGGGGGAATCTGTACCCGGGGAATCGATACCCCTGGGGGAATCTGTTCCCGGGGAATCGATACCCCCTAGGGGGAATCTGTTCCCCCTGGGGGGGAATCTGTACCCCCTTGACAATCTAATTTTTCTTGAAACCCTTTAAAAAGAAAATATTTTTGGCTCGATTAAGGCTCGAAATACTTTGTAAAATTGTTTTAAAATAGTTTAAGTATAAAACACAATTTTACACTTTAGTAAGGATTAAAATGAACTTTGAAAGACTTGGAGTAATATTTTGATATTCGAATAATTACATCGAATATACTTAGAAAATCTTTTGTAAAATCTTAAAATTCATTTAACTTAATTTGTTATATCGAAACATCAAAATGTTTTCAACATATAATTATAAAAAATAAAATTTAAGTAATAAATAAGGTTGTTGATAATACATATCATATAAAAATAAAAGAGTAATAAATTTGAAGAAATTTTCTCTTTAGTTATCCATCATTAGCTCACAACTAAATTAATTATTAAAATGATATTATTATGCTCAAGTG